ATGAGTTCAGGTACGATATACCTGATCTCTTGTAATAATTGCGAAGATGAATATATTGGCGAAACGGGCAGACCTTTGTGCATCCGTATAAAAGAACACCTAGATGGCAAACGAAAACTAAGACGAAGCACCCCATTAGGCTCGCATAGGATACAAAAGCATAGCGGAGACGATTTTGAAGTAAAAGTCAATATCCTCGCACAGGAGTCCAAAACACTAGCGCGAAAACTCCTTGAGGCTTTTTGGATCAATGCCAAAAACCCTACAATGAATAGCAGGGATGAATGCCCGGAGGTCATACGCGACCTGATCCCGTACGTTCGCATCGATCTTTGATGTGGGATGGCGCAATCGTCAACCACATGCGACTATAATCAGCTGTTCAAAATTTCCTCATTGGAAGTCACGAAAAAGCGGTGGGTTTTTTCGNAGCGCGAAAACTCCTTGAGGCTTTTTGGATCAATGCCAAAAACCCTACAATGAATAGCAGGGATGAATGCCCGGAGGTCATACGCGACCTGATCCCGTACGTTCGCATCGATCTTTGATGTGGGATGGCGCAATCGTCAACCACATGCGACTATAATCAGCTGTTCAAAATTTCCTCATTGGAAGTCACGAAAAAGCGGTGGGTTTTTTCGAGAAGTTGTTGCCCGTGTAATTACCAGAGGGTCTTTCGTCTTTTTGTAAGTGTTACTGAAGCGTTTGGCCTAGTAGATTGCATATCAGTATACCCTTCCAGGCTCTGAAGAAGGCGATACTGCCGAAACGTCAGCTAGCGTTGTATTGTATTGTGTTTTTTATGGAAGTAAATATATGCTGTTTAAAAACCTCGCGATTGCTGAACAAGGAAACGACACATTCATATTCCAATGCCGAGGTTAAGAGAAAGTCGATCCTGGGAACTATAATCATCATTTTTCGGAGATTTGCTGGCTAAGTCATGGTTCCTTGGAATCCCGAGGTCAGCCTGGCCAAAGTCTGCCCCAGGTCGTCACCATCACAAGTACTCGCAGTCCTTGTGGATCAGAGGAAGATTTGCCACCATGCGACTCCGACACCAGGACGGTGGTGGTTCCTGGTATTGGTTCACTCTTAGCTAGGCTTCCTTATGGAAACGCCGGACTCGTTTTCAGCTTGGAAGACTTTAGCGGAGGGGCGAATCCCTCCGCTGTACACCGCAGTCCGACACCCAGGAACACCTCCCGGTCACCATGAGGCGGTAAACCGTTTGGAGGTTTAGACAACAGAATAGCAAGACAAATCAGTACAATACCTCAACTCTACGCGATCCCATTTTTTAAGTCGATGCAGATGACGACGGTAGTACATATAGAAGCCGAGACCGAGATTTGCGGTAAATAAGATGCTATTACTAACGGCCAAATCCTTGGTTGTAAAAATTCTGCAATGAAGTGTGGTCAACGCGAACAGATTACATTTCAATTGTGAAAAACAAATCAAAAAAGCTATTAGCAAAGCTCCATTCCTTTGATCAGGAAAAACAAGACAGCTACGTTTGTTCAAGGTCAAGTGGATAATTAAAGTCTCAACAATTGTTAACTGAGAAAACCTTTAAAAACTGAGCCGCAACAGACAATGACTACTAAGAAATCACGTGGAAGTATAATGATCACATTATACTTCCACGTGATTTCTGTGCGGTTGGTCTCTACGTGACATACTTAGTGGAGACCTCATAGAAAGCGGCTCTGAAGAAGGCGAAATTCGCCGAAACGTCAGCTTAATCGTGAACAAAGAACAATAACACCTCGCGTTTGCTCAAAAAAAATACGAAAAAAATCACTTGATCAATGCCGAGGTTAATAGAAAGTCGGTCGTGGCAATGACTACTAAGGTTTCAAGAGATTCAGAAAGTTTGAGTTACTATAACGTGATGAAAGCAAGCAAACTTGCGCTTTATTAATAAAAAAGCGTAGATCCTAAGCTTTCTAATATCTACTAGCAAAGTTTCGTACGAATTAAGTGAAAAGAACATTGTTTTCCTGATAACCTAGTATCGACGTGATAGTTGGACGTAACACAGATATGCTTGAACAATTGCTCACTCCAATGACAGATTTGCAAGAATTTCTGAGAAAACAAGAAATGATAAAGAACTCTAAAGAGCACTACTCAAATCAGCAACAATAGACATGCATGAGCATCAGATCGCCATCTCGTCCATTCCGAACAGAAGTGCACGAGATATCAACGACGAATGAACAGCACCTCTAGTTAATTCTTCAATACGCTGTAAGAAAACTGCTATGTTGGCCTACACCATATCCATATGAACACACAGTTGAACGGAAAAATAACTTGAGAAACAATAAATCCTTAGTTCCCATCTACGTGTACCTTTCTTCGTTATACACAAACAACGACTAAAAAAACTGACGACAAGGTTCACCTAAGGTGAAGTTCACACTTTTTGGTATAAGACAATCAATGTCAGAAAACGGAAGTATCAGAGTAGACGCACGTCTTCAACAACTGAAAGCGCCTTTCGACACCAGTGGCTTTTTCCATAGAACCAAACCATTCAAAAGATAAAATATTTACTCGAAGGAAAACACCACCAGTACTGATTCGGCACGGTTTCTCTAGGAATCTAGAGATATTTATAGGGATTATCAGGATTTCATCAGAAGACAACTGAGTTTGCCACACTGAAGCTACTATTCTTTCAGACGACAGCGATCCCTACGACTGGCCAATCTTGCGGACGAGGACGATAGTGTAAATAGGTTGATTCTTCGACACAGAAAATACGTCATTGCAAAGCAGGAGAAAGAACGCCGCAGAAACAACAAACGAATGAGTCGGCGAGAAATAATGCAACAACCCACACAATCGTGTTCCCCATATAAAATAAAGGTAATCGGATAGTTTCCAAAAGAAGAGAAAAAATGCAACAATAACGTCAATTTTTGCACTAACAACATGACAGCAGTGCTGTCTACGATAATCATTGTAGAACAGTATAGGAGACATCCTTGATATGCATCTTGTTTTCGATTTCGCACCTCTGAAAGTTTCCAGCGGATCCTTATGACAGATTTTACTTTCCGCCCTTTTATGTCATTTCTAGTTCATCTCTTATTCTTTTACTTCACTCACCACTAATTCAACAAAAGGCTTACTATGCGATCATGTACGATCACTTTCCTTCGGCCATTCTGATCAACTACTCTGTCAGCGGAACCAATTTTATACATTGGACACTTGGCGGCGATATGATGGTGAGATCAGTTTGCCGATAGTGAATGAGCGCAAATGATCCCTAACGATGACGAATGACGACAATCGTAACAAAGTCGTTAACGGCCCGCTATGAGCCATAGTCATAAGTTCTCGAAAACAACTACGTGTCATTATGTGCTCGAAAAATGTTATTTCCCACTATTTCAATAATCAGAAAACGGTACTCAAGGGCTTAATGTAAAATGAATAGAAACAATAATAAAAAGTTCTGAAAACAGAAACAACGAAATCTTCGTCCAAAGATCTACACAGAAATCTAATGCAGTAAACTAGTTGGGGATTCATTTGCGACGTCAGATGCGCAGATTCCTAACCTTGCGGCCTTCATTGGCGTATTGACTTCATGAACGCAAAAAGAAGCGATGAACTGTTCCGCACTGTAGACACGGAACACACCAGTTTTCTCGACAACACACTCTTCTGATATTGGATCCACGCTTGACCAACTGCTGATGGAATATAAAAATTGCGATAGCAAAAACAGCTATGTAAACCGCTGAACATACGGACCCTAAATCGGATCGTGTGGTCGTCAAGGTGTTAAATAAAAGTAAACCAAAAAATAAAACATCAGTAGTGTAAACATCCCAGCTGAGCGAAAAACTAAGCAGCCAGTTTAGTCCCAGCTTCCACAGAGGTCGTAACTGCTTCGCAATCTTACACACTAAGCAACCAGTTTTAAAGAAAGGAATAAAGAAGAATAAAAACTAAAGAAGCAAATTTAATTGGACATACCTGGACACGAAAGTTGGATTAAAAATGTGGACAGCGAAGAGGGTATGGGATAAAGCACCGGAAGCCGGAAGATAATGAGATAGAAATGAACGAAACGTTAGTGTTGGAAAATATGAGCTCCAATTCAGACGACTAACTGCAACCATATTGACCACAATCGTCTGTCGCAATGGAGTCGTTCGTACCTGTAAACCACCCATCCCTACTTAGCTAATAATCTAATCACACAAAAAGTAAATCACGACAAAAGTAAAAACTGTGGAGAAATTAATCAATTATGAGACGAAGAACCGAAAGTGTGAAGGTTTTTAAAAGAAGAAATGAAGATCTGGTAGAACAAAAAGGATTCATATAAAAGGTTAGAAATAACCAGAATCAATGATGGTAGCCCTCAGTCGTACAACGTGATGGTCATATGTGAACCTCATGAACATTTAGTCCCGCCAGGAATACCATATTTTTTAACTCATTTAGTCATTTTGTTTTCAACACATTTATTCACTGTGAAATACATACTGCAGAAATGATTCTGTATAGTATGATCTCCGGAGTACGGCGTTTCCATCAGGAAGCCTAACTAAGAGTAAACCAATGCCAGGATTTGCCGCCGTCCTGGTATCAAGGTCCCATGGTGGCAAATCTCCTTCTGATCCACAAGGACTGCGACTACCCGTGGTGGTGAAGACCTGGGGCAGACCTTGGCTAGGCTGACCTCGGGATTCCAGGGAACCACAATGGCTTAACCAACAAATCTCCGATAAATGGCGAATATTCTGGGGTACGCACAACCAGTGAGGACGGGCCGTTCAAGTGTCAACTGTATTTATTCACTGTTTTCATGATGAGGTCGATGAGAACACAAGGTTGTTACGTTATTCTTCATTTAGAAGAAAAAAAATGACGGTTCGGCGCATTTCTCCTCCTTCAGAGCCTAGAGTAGTCAAGTTGACAGCAATCTAGTTAGACAAACATCTCCATAACCAAAACAGGAAAAGCATGAAACCAAGATTTCAATCGCACTGAAAACAAAATATCTTCATCGCACATTCACCGAGTCTTCCACTAAGTATTTCACTTGGAGACCAACCGCACAGGGTTCACATGGAAGTGTAATGTGCGTCTTTCACAGTAAAATATTAGCTTTGAATCTTGTGTGAGATCATGTGTGATAACAAGGCGTTTGTCCCTACGGTTCAACCTTGGAATCTTGGGATATATCCAGATTGCTTCGAGAGCTTTGAGCGCTAGTGTTTTTGATTCCTGTGCTGGAATGGCAACTTCTTCAGAAACCTTCCTCATGGTGTCTGTCTTATGTACGTCTTATGTTAGTGAAGTATTTGGTTCAACTTATATAAGTTTTCCTCTTTTATAGGGCGCGCAGTGATCTGTGGGTTTCGTCAATATATTCGTCCATACTTGTTTTACAAGAGATCCGATAAACAGTACCGGAACTCGAGCAATCAAGGTCTCTACCGCTAAGGCAAACTGCGAAATAGCTGGCCTCATCTAGTGTTCGGCGCTACTGTATTTCAGTTACTGCTATCCAATTCTCTATACCGACCCTTTTAAAGCAATGATTTATAGGTGCACTTTTTCGTTGGAAATAGAGCAAAGGACAAATAGGACCTCATTATCGCTATAGTTATCGTTTGAGAGCATGGATTTTCGTCCACAAGTATTTTGAGGAGTCATATTCATGTTAAGTCTTAATCCCGAGCTATCCGCACTCTTATTTATGGTGTTATGTGAACAATAGAGGAATGGCCTCTTCAAGCGCAGTTCTTTAGAAGACACTAGCATATTTATCAAATGTTCTATTTAATTTCACTGAATCATTCAAAAACTTCTGAGGTTTAGCCTTGCCCAAAGCTAATTTGTACCGTGAAATAAATCTTAGGGTAACGATTAATTGATAACCTCACTTTCATGATAGAGATCACTTGTATCCCTCAAGGTTATTCATCATCATTGATATTCTAGAAAAAAGTTTGGCTACGACATATAAGTAAAAGGATAAAGGATAAAGCTCTCGGCGTTGATCAATCCCTGAGGGACGCGTCATGCATTCGACTGAATTAAGCATCGTTTGGAGGTGATTGAATGCATTTCTGGCCCTAATAATGACTCGCGGTGGCCTACCGTTGTGTCGAGCCAGTGCTGCTATTTTCCCAGGAAAGTCTGGTGCCAATTTGCAGAACCCGGAGAGATGGAAGGCTTGGTGGGCCATGGGGGCGGGGATCGATTCCACGTATGTGTTGAAGGGCGCCTCCGATCACTACGCCACACGCGCCGTACGACATATCCATATGGTAATGAAATGAAAAGAAACCTAACCATTGCATATTGGACCACCTTAAAAAGATAAGAACTCATTCAGATCATCCACAAACTTATTGTATGAACAGGATTTGGAGTTACTACCTAAAATCTGATCCCAGTAATTTGAGTTTTAAGGAGAAGCCACAATTAGAATGTATTTTCACTGTGGAGGAGGACCAAATGATAGAAATATGAAAGAAAAACCCTTGCTCTACATTTTAAGAAGCAAAAAAGTACTGTATACTTTTAAGACGTACGGCACATTTATCTGGAGGAGCAATAAAGATGTTCCGGATAACTCTGACAGAAAATGCCCATGTTCACAAATCGCCTTGCGATTTTCTATTAAAACATAAGAGGAAGAAGCAATTTTTAAAAAGGAGACCAAAAATGACTAGAAAAGGATTGCTTAACGGTGACTAAAATGATTTTTGCAATCATGTTTCGGAAAAACTATGTGCGTAAATTGCGTGAAGCTTAACAGACCAACTGTAAAGGTTGCTTTAATGATAAGATGCTCTCTGTGTGATAAAGCAGTAGGCAATTTCAACACCACGGATTTTCACCACATAGTCCTGAAAAACGTAATCTCCCAAGTTTCAAATCTTGAGTGAGCTGCGGAATGGTCTGAGCATGGTCAATCGCCGCAGTATTACCCTATGAGGACCATACTAGTACCACCTTTTGCCTTCGAACTACGCAACTTCTTGCCAGTTGTGCAGTTCATTCCTTTAAAGACTGACAAAACGCACTCGGATAACTTAAGCAATAAAGTTAGCAGTTCCCGTAAGACTTCCTAATGACCCGATGAATAAGAAAAGTCGTTTAACGAAGTGGCGCACATATTCATTAAATTTCTCTTCTCTGTTTACCATGCTTTCCTAAGAAATCGAGAAACTTTCAATATGGTCCAACACTTCAGGCACAACTTTTCATTTTAGACTTAGCCACTTTCAAAAAAGTTATTCCAGCGTTCTTCTCCCCTCATTTTATGCCTAATTTCTCATCAAAAATGATTAGTTTGAAATCCTGGGTAATAAAAAGCATCAGAACACTAAGGATTAACAAAGTGTGCAACAATATAACGCAGACTAACAAACAGACGATTGAATACAAACAATAAATATAGACGCATGCTAAAACATTAGGCGGAGGAATACACAAACCCTACCGACAGCCCTAGAACGGCAACTGATAAGGATAAGCAAATAGCTCGTGTTAAGGAGTGATATCGATAAAGAAACTAGTTTACGAGCTATAGACAGTTGAAATAACAAATAGATGAACAGACGAAAGCAATACACAAGGGAAAGTTTGCGAATGTCACAGCCAACTTTGACAACAATGGAATTGCATGTAATATTTACAGTTAAATTTGCGTAGAAAGTTTCCATAGTGCGTAGGAAGAAAGAAAAGGCTATAAATAAAAAGGCTTGGACGAACTGCATATGTAAATAATTCCATCAATAATTTCTATTCGTCGCTTCCCCTTGCTAGAACGGCAAAGTTGGCGTCATCACTCGAGTGACGCGAAAGACATCATACTTTTCGTAAGTGGCTCTTCACGTTCACTTTTTGCAATGAAAGGGTCCTACTCAGAAATAGCATGCCAAGATCTCCCATGTGGTTTTGATTTACTGATGAATGGCTAGTAAGATCTCTCCGAAATATATCTAAGGTTTGATTGTCCGGGAAAAACAAGTTATTATCACACTATCACTGAACAATCACAGCTATCCACTATCAGCAACCTGCATAAAAGGGCATCACTGAGTGAGGATGCCTCATTCGAGGAGATGGCTCACTGAGGACGACCTGACTCGACACGAAGGCGAAGCTGCCACGTCGAGACGTCGAGACAGGCAGGCATGGACCATCGACTCGGATCATCGGCTCTGAGGAAGACGAAGACGTCGAAACGTTAGCCGAAAATAAATATCATTATCAACCTCGTGTAAGCTCATCAAATAGATCTAAGGCTTGCTTGTAGGTGATAACCACGAATCATCTCATTGAACATTCCGGTCACCTGATGCCAGAGTTTCGACCGAATCAAGGGACGGAGTTACCTCTATGGTGATAAATATCGCAATTCTAAGCCTAAAATTACCCGTTTGTCAAGATGAGCGACTAACCATTTGCGAAATCAAACATTGTCGTCTAACTATCAACGCAGAGCATATCACATCTAATAAAAGGATAAAGGATAAAGCTCTTGGTTTTGATCAATCCCTGAGGGATGCGCCATGCATTCGACTTCATTAAGCATCGTTTGGATGTGATTGAATGCATATCTGGCCTTTACAATGACTCGCTGTGGCCTACCGTTGCATCGAGTCAGTGCTGCTATCCTCTCAGACAAATCTGGTGCCAATTTGCAGAATCCGCAGGGATGGAAGGCTGGGTGGGCCATAGGAGCGGGGATCGATTTCACATGTGTGTTGCGGGAGCCTCCGACCACTGCGCAACACTCGCCTCTATCACATCTGATAAATAAAATAAGCAGATTTCTGTTTCGAGGGAAAAAGTTGAAAAGAAAGAACTGTCAAGATAAATGGATTTATTACTGAATTAGGTCCCTTCCATATAGACGATCCATCACTCCACCACTACCACCTCATCGGCACATCGGCACTTGAGCTAAGTGGTCGTGGGGATGGCATCATTTCGGTCAATAGTAAAAGTTTCTATAACAGCTATAAGCTAAATTACTTGGGCGAAAAACCAGGTATGCGATAGAACCACTTAAAAAACCAATAACATTTTACATTCAAACTCGTACGTTGCCTCGTCTTTGGCAGCTTAACAACTACATATTAATCACAAC